ATGTGCGTTTATCTTACCTTGTTATAAGTGAAATCATATCCCTCACCCCTTCATTTCTCTTTTTAAATTTATCTTTAAGGGTCTTGCTGTAGATAAAAAGGTTAAAGGGACTCCACTAAGGATTAAAAGCCTAAGAACATAACATTTGAATTTCTTACATAAATGAGCTGGGGCACTTTAAAAAGAAATATATGCATACGATAGTTAAGAAATATACTTTTTATGCTTTTCTTAGACAGATTTGAGTGAAAAAGCGTTTTAAAACGCTTTTCATTTTGGGTCATTCTTTTTACAATTTGAATAATTATTCTGAAAAAAACGAATTGTTCGAATGATCTGAAATTTTTGAACAAAGAATAATTGTTATAAACCTTCATCAAATGGTACATTTAATCTGGAAAAAAAAATATTTTCAGTCCAAAAAAAATCAAAATGTCAAAAAACCCTCAGTGGAGTCCCTTTAAATTTCAAACTATGCTTGAATGTACAGTGAAAACTGTATATAGTGGTCAGCATAGGGAGTCAGCTTAAATGACCATAATATACAGGTGCATGCATACTTTATGAGTCGATGATTAAATAGTCATGCGGTTCCGGTATAGTATGTTTCTGTTTTTCTGTAACTTTTTTGTCTTTTGTGTACCTGTTGAACATTATTATCCTAATATGTTTAATATGATAGTTGTTAGTGTCATGTTAATTTAAAGCAGCATGCCTCCAGATGAGCAGAACTATTTTAATACGTTCAAACTTGAGAAAAAAATGTACTTAGATTTTTGGAAGATGCAAGATTCAAGTAATATTTTACATGTTATAAACGAGTAATGGTTAATTTTTCATTATGTGTAACTATATTTCTACTGCGTTACTAACGCAGTAAGGGCTTTTCTTTTTACATATTTTGACCTCTTTTTGTAATAAACGTGGAACGTAAATGATATTGATAATGTGTAAATTGCTTCCGTTTGGTTACTTTACGTAACGTTACAGTAATATTTTTAATTACATTTCCAAAATTTTCATGAAAATAAGCATTAATTTGGAGGCGTGCTGCTTTAATGCTTTTTCGCGGGGCAAAAATTCGAAAGGTCGAAAGCACAGCATGGCAATTTGTTCTCATTTATACGCTTTCTTTTTTGTTCCGATGTACATAATAAAATTTAAAAAAAAAAATTATAAACGGGGCTCAAACATTACAATGCCAAAGTATAATCCTCTGTTTTTAAAATTAAGAACCTCTTGGTGGTTTTAAAAAACATCCCCAGCCCCATTCTTCTGTTAACAACGAAATAATTTGCAAACATGGCAATTTATCAGCCACTCTGATAGAAAAATATGATATGCCCAAATTTTTAAATTAGAAAAATTTATGTATGTAATTATATAAGCATTTTATAAAAAAAAATGAGGGTTCTGTACATACAAGCATTTGATATGTTGGACTTTTAATAACACACATTATTATATATGTGCTTATAATATGAAATTTACTTATAAAAAGACACTCAATTTGTCATAATTTATGACGCCATTCGAAATGGAAGAATATCATTTCTAACGTATCGATGTTATATCCTTTTTACGTTCATTGTTGAGTATATTTGTTTGTTTTTTTTTTGTTGTTTTTTTTTGTTGTTGTTTTATTTTGTTTTGTTTTTTTGGGAGGGGGGGAGACAAAATCATTGTTGTATTAAAAGCATATTTCATTTTAAAAATGGGCATAATGTATCTTTATTAAATAAGCATATGCATATATATATATAAAATGGTAAATATACCTAGTGCTAGGTTTTAATGGTGTTTTTATTGGGTGTTTATTTGTGTTACTTAAACCCGTGGGTATATTTTTTGCTAATCATTGACCGGAAACAGGTGCCATGCCCACAAGACAATGCATCGAACCTCAAACCGGTTTTTACGTACAACATTTTGGATGACAAAGGTTTATTCAAAATGTTAAAGTTTTTAATAATGTTTTACGATATGTTAATACAATTATAATGAATGTCCAACACATCAATTTTCGTAAAAATAACTTCGTTAAAATTCCGGCATAATCCGCCCATTTTCCGTGACTATTTTATGAGTTAAACGAGTTAGGATTTTCAGCCACCACTTTACGTGATGACAATTCTTTATATTTTCATCATAATTTCGTGAAAAATATATTCAAACAGAAACGAAAACAGTTCATCTTAATATTATTTCTATTTGCCTATGTTATAATTACTTTGTTGATTTATCGCTTTCCTATTTGCTACGGAAATTAACGGAATATGCCGAACTTGCACGAACATACATGAGGAATGGTATGACATACATTCATCATACAGATACCATGTCATCAGGGTCTTTCATTTCTTTTTGAAAGACCCTAATGAAATAAATATTCATTAAAATTTGGTTATATTTTCTATTTATCTGTTATTATTTTTATGAAGAAATAAATCATCTACATGTACAGTGAAACGTGTGCGAAACAACTTCTCTTTAATATTTGTCCACTTAACACACGGGAGTCTTAAACTATTGAAGCATTTTCTTAAATCTTCATAAACGAGTTTTTAGCAAAACCTTTTTAATTTACAATAGACATTCCCTGAAATCGTGGTTTTTGATACCCCAATTTTGGCTGTAATATGTAAAAACTTTTTATCGACCTGAAACACGATTTTTTAAAAAGGATTTTCATGTAAAATAGATTTTTAAAATTTGGGAAACCGTTTTTTTGGTTTCCCCCCGGCCATGGCCCGTTTGGGGGGGAAAAAAGGCAGGGTAACTTTGGGCCTTTGTCCGGGCCGGGTTTAAAAAGCGGGCTTTTTTGGTTTGGGGGGAAAAATTTTGGGGAAGTGACCGGGGTTATAACAAAAAATGCAATTCGGGAAATTTTTAGTGGTTTTTTGCCAAATTGGGTTTGTCTTAGCAAAAATGGAAAATTAAAACCAGAAAATTTAAAAAATCAAAAACGTCAAATTTCCTCGCTAAAATTTTAAAGGGGGGCGAAAAGGGTCCGTGGAAAAAACCCGGAACTAGTGCAAAACCGGGAAAATTTTTGGGTCGGGTTTAATATATTATTTTTTCTTTTTCGCATGTATATACAAACATGACCATATAATAACTTGTTGTTTTTTCCTAAAATCGCCTTATATAAGTGTTACATTTTAGAGGATGAGCTGTATTTTGTTATTTGTAACTTATGGCTCAGAAAAGTATAGTTGGTCAAAAATTATTCAAAAAATATAAAATTCATTGGGTTTGCATTTTACATTTTAATACAATGTTAATTTTTCACCAAAAGATGGCCTAAAGGTCTTCATTTTTTAAACAGGGGCCTTTCAGAAACTTGACTTTTTAATTTGAAAGACCAAATTCTAGCATTCTAGTTTACAGAATTTCATGATTTTAAAATATGTTCAGGGTAGAGTTCATTAATCTCCCGAATTTAATAAATACTAAAAACTGTTTATGCACCTTCAAACGAAATCGAATTGATTTTTTTTCGTCTGCTGCATTTGATCAAAGCTCCTACGAAAAACTTAAAAGTAACGAGACAATAGAGCGCTTTTAATATCACAGAAATTTCCACTTTATTTCATCACACAAACAATATACTGCAATGTATTTTTAAATCGTTTCAGTTTAGTTTATAGCGTTTTTCAAAAAATTTCAAAAGGGCGAGAAAGGATTGTGGAAGAGCGGCAAAGGTTTGGAGCGTCTGTTATTGGCAACGCGCCCCTTGAAGTAAGATGGAAGAAATGAAATTAGAGAAAGGCGAAAAAAAGGGGGTTTGAGTTCCAGGGTTACATTAGAAATAACCGGATATTAAAATTATGATACTGGTACTTCTTTTAAGTTAAATCAAAAGCACAGGGGAAGGGGGCCTGGGGAAATTGTTGCGTCCCTTCGAATGTCCAGAAAAAGGTTGAAGGTTGTGAAAGATTATAGACCCCCAATTTGTTTGTAAAGTGTCGCTTAACTCTGTTTCCAGTGTTATAACAATAGTAAATTGGCTATAAGACTAATTGCAGCACTGATATTCAATTCAATGTTTATTTGGCTTAATCAATTTAAGAAAAAAACATGGGGTGCCTCATCTGGGATTTGAACTCCAGACCTCTCGATTCAAAAACGAGCGTGTAAACCCCTCGACCACGGGGAGTTATAGGATAACAGCCTGAAGAATACCATATTATTCTTATTTAGAGTTTGTAACCCTTATTAATTTCGATATATTTTGTTCACGGTAAACCTGACCAATCGGAAACTATTTTTTCGTTACGAAAATTAATGCGCCTGTCATTTGACGCAGTGATCTCCCCTTAATTTTTCGGCGTTAATGTACATATGAAGGGAAGTAACCGCTTCGAGGAGTTTGGACTACTTTTGGCATTTGCAAATAAGAACATCAGGGTCTGAAATTTCGCTACCATTAAATGTTTGGTCTGACGACCCAAACAAATAAAAATATATACATGTTTATTACATGTATTTGTCGCATTGTGTAAATGTTACAATTTACTGTACAGAATGTGTACCGTGGTTTTCAATTTATGTAGCATCAGCTCATGTATCTTACACTAACCAACAATTTACATTTATATGAGCCGTGTCACGACAAAACCAACATAATGGGTTTGCGACCAGCATGGATCCAGACCAGCCGGCGCAGATCAGGATCCATGCTGTTCGCTTTCAGTTTCTCTACTTGTAATAGAGTTGGTAAGCGAACAGCATGGATCCTGATCAGACTTCGCGGATGCGCAGGCTGGTCAGGATCCATGCTGGTCGTAAACGCACTACGTTGGTTTTATCGTGACGCGGCTCATATTTCTTTCGTGGTTTGTTGTTATATCTAATACTTGAAATTATCAACGAAATTATTCATTGTATTCTCGTATTACAGACTTTCAATCGTAGACCTATACACTTTAAAGAAAATATTCTATTTTTAGGCTTCATGACCTTTTAATACACATGTATTTTGTAACATTTTCAGCTCCAGTAAACTGGATAATCTGATAGTAGTTGTCGATGGGGACAGGGATACCCCCGGGTCGTCTACTGAAAATACGCCATTACTGTCACAGAAAGAAAAACAGAAGATCAATCAAACAAACCAGGTATATGAAGTAAATTAGTTAAAGCTGCATGCCTCCACATGAGCCAAACTATTTCAAGAAGATTTAATATACTAAGATTTTCAGAAAAGTAAAAAAAGATTCATGTTATAAGTGATAATTTACATATTATATGCGATTTAAGAAATCTTGAAATAAATATCACCATATTTATGCTATGTTACTAAGTAAACGCAGTTAGGGTTATCTTTGCTTATTTTGACCTCTTTTTGGTAATATACGTGGATTGCAAGTGCTGTTTGCAATATGTAAATTATTTTCTTTGAACACTTCATAATATTTACTTTTAAATACAATTTTAAAATTTTCATGAAAATTAGCATGAATCTGGAGACACGCTGCTTTAATGATACATGTTATCCATATTCAAGTTAATACCATGTTTTGATCTACATGTATATTGAAAATAAAACAAAAAAATCCTTAGCTAGATCGAGCAAATAACCATGAATTTGGAAGCCTTGCATTTTACCAATGAGGCTAGGAAGACGAATCATTTTATAAAACACTACGAAATGTAAATCCCGTCTACTCATATTTTACAATTCATATCTGGATTATGTTTGAAACCAATTATTACAAATTAAATACAATTCTATTGTAGTTATTTTGTGAATGTGATAAAAATTCCCATAAATATAGTTTTATCAAACCCTCTTATCATATCGACTATTCCAAAGCGACATTCTATTGGAAGTACCATAAAGTGCACTTTGCTTATGTTCTTCTCTTCAACAGAGATGTCGCGCGAGTTTGTTGAAGGTGGTTATGAGGGAGAACTGGTTTGACATCCTAGAGTTCCTGTTCTACAGCTGGTTCTCTCTTGTAGCATATTGTATCCTGCCTGCATTACTAAGGTACCAGTACTTTTGTATATTTGCATAATTAAAACGTAGTAGAGGCATTGTCATTCCACTAAATCACGCACGAAGTCGACCATAACGCAACCTCGGGTTTTTGTATTTTCTGATCGCAAGATCAGTAAATACATAGCTAACATCCACGGTTCTAACACAAAAATTTCCTTACAGACTAACAACGCAAGTAGTTCTCACTCAAAACTGCTTAAAAACCAGCAATTTAAAAAGAAAGAATAATTTTTAATGTAGGCATCTAACGAATTACAGTGCATTAAAAAGTTTAGATTAGTCATAGAAATATGATGTTACAATCACAAATTTTCGCGGATGTAATATCTTTTTTTTACCCATGAAAAATGTTCGGCTATTCCGTAAACGTAAAGCTTCGGATTATCATGAATGCACTCGGATGAATATCATTTTAATCAATGAAAATGCTAATTTTAGCTATGTCGATCCAGAGAGTAGTACACAAATAAATCTGACTGTCGAGTAGTGGAATATATACATGTCGGACTGTTTTGGCGAGAAGATTTTCGCTAAATTATTTTCATCAGTGTTAAACAACAGGTTTATCGTGGAAAAAATACCTCGAAATTAATAAGGATTACAAACACGAAATGGAAATTCTCAATTTAGAATTACATAATGTATTCGTTTTTATTCAAGGTACATACGTATTAACTTAACCGTAGTCTTGCAAAATTCCATATGTATCAATCTGAAACTGTTATAGAAAAAAATCTTAACGCTGTCGCTGTGTAAGATGAAAATATAGTATATAAAAATAAACTTATACAGGAAAATAATTACAGATAGTCTTGCAAAGATCAGAAAATACCACAGAGCTGCAGCCCTTTGATTAAAAGCGTGGTAATGACAGTGTCATATCAAGGACTCAATCAAAGATCGTCTATTAGCCGAGTTAAAGAAATGCTTTAATTCTTATTTATCAGAAATGTTTTATTTTTGGGGTACCTAAATATAGTTTTTAAAAAATATATATATATAGATGAGCCAGCTCTTGCTTTTTTTTTGCTTAATTGACAAGTTACAATGCCATTTCAGAAGTTGCCCTATTAAATGCTTTATAAGAAGGCTTTTGGTTGCCATGATTTGTATTACTTCTCTGTGTGATATGGACGCTTATTGTTTTGTATGAGATACGGAAAGTGGCGACAACTGTCGACAACTGTCGAAATTTAACGAGTTTGTAATCGGTAAATTACGATTGCTAATTTGCATACGATTTTCCCCCTTCAGCTACCTCATTGATTTCATAGACAACAAATCTACCTCCGGGGCACCGCTATGGGTTGGAATATTCTACGGTCTCGTCTGCGTGGTTTCAATGGAAGGTTCTTCTATATTCTACAACGTGCAATGTCATCATACAGCCACCGCGGGACTTAAAATAAAACATTCTTTAATGTATCTCATATATCAGAAGGTAAATCTATTTGAGCCGCGTCACGACAAAACCAACATAATGGGTTTGCGACCAGCATGGATCCAGACCTGCCTGCGCATCCGCGCAGTTTGATCAGGATCCATACTGTTCGCTATCAGTTTCTCTACTTGCTATAGGGTTTAAAAGCGAACAGCATGGATCCTGATCAGACTATGCGGATGCGCAGGCTGGTCTGGATCCATGCTGGTCGCAAACCCATTATGTTGGTTTAGTCGTGACGCGGCTCATTTTATTATCGAATTATTTAAATTCCATGAATTTCTTCAATTAGAAAGATGCGACTATCCTATTTTAATAATTTCATTACAGTCGGAAAATTGTTTTCTTTTCCTGATTTTTCAAAACAAAATAAAATGAATATACTTATATGTGCGGCTTTAATTGTTTCAACATAAAGTCGATGCATTTCTTTAACGCTATAATTTTTGTTTAAAGTTGTTGCTATTCTTATATAGAATCTATGCGATATTGATTATTTCATTGCAAGAGAAAGTATTTTATATATGCGATTCTAAACTATGCGATATTAATATTTTATATAATAGAGGAAAATTTATTAACGTTATTCTTATAAAGGTACATGCACTTTTTTTAAAATAATAAACCTGTATATGTTTTTTCAGGCTTTAACCGTTTCAAAAGCCGAGACGAGAATATCGGTTGGTGACGTAGTAAATCACATGTCTGTAGATTGTCAGAGGATACAAGATTCTGTGTTTTACTCCTATTATCTTCCCGACGCCATCATCTTTCTAGCCGTAGCCTCATATCTCCTATACAATACCGTTGGCGGTAAGTATAACTGTCATTGAAAATCGCGATATCGATATATCATCGATATTCAATATTCGATTCGATATCGATTTACAATTTAGCCCTAGCCTCATACCTCCTATACATATACAATACCGCAGGCGGTGAGTATAGCTGTCATTGAATATACACGATGTATCATCGAAATTCAACATTCAGCCTCAACTCTCTTATACAATACCGCAGGCGATAAATATGACTGTCATTGAATACCGCAATATTGATATATCATTAAAATTCATTTGATCCAAAATATCGATATCGAGATTCGATATCGATTCACAATTTAACCGTTGGGCACATCTCCTATACAATACCGTTGGCGGTAAGTATAGCTGTCATTGAATGTATATCACGGAATCGATGCATCATCGATATTCAACATTCAGCCTCAAATCTCTACTACAATACCGTTGGCGATAAATATGGCTGTCATTGATTGACTATCGTGATATCAATATGTTATCGATATTCAACATTCTATTCGATATCGATTAAGAATTTAGCTGTATCCTCATATTTCGTGTACATTACCGTTGGCGGTAAAAATGGCTGTCATTGAAAATCGCGATATCGATATATCATCAGTATTCCACATTCGATTCGATATCTATCAACCATTTTTGCCGTAGCCGTAACTGTTGGATAATACCGTTGGCAGAAAATATAGCGGTATCGATGTATCAACGATATTCAACATTCAGCCTAAAATCTGCATTACAAGATCGTTGGCGATAAATATGGCTGTTCTAGAATACCGCAATATCGATATATCATCGATATGTAATATTCGATTCCATATTGATATCAGTACAATTTTAAACTTAATTATTACTCTGCCTGTTTCGATATTTATTTCAAAAAAGGAGTAGTGACATATGTCCCTTTTCTTTTTTGCTACCTTGAATTCAGATGTAGGTCACTATCAAAGAGGTCATAGATCACAACTATAGTAATGCAATTTATTAAAACTCAAATAATCATATACAGTGTGTATATATATATGTACAAAATGGAAACCATACAGTTGTTTCAATAATGGCATAATGGGAGCTGTGGCTTAGTGGTTAAGGTGTCTGCCTCTCAACCCAAGGATCATGGATTCCAGCCCTAATCGTGTTTCGATCATGTTTTTTCATATGAAACCAGGAGTACTGGTTAATTCCAGGAAGCGGACACAAAAGTGATTTGTATAAGTTGCAAAAACTTGTTTCGCCATCGTGCTCAAATAAATATGTTTTAACTCATCCAAACCTTAGTAATGGCATTCAAATTTTCAGGGGCGGCAACTCTTGGCGGCATGACACTTCTCATTTTGATTGTACCGTTGAACGTGTATATCGTTCGTAAGCAAAAGCTCATTCAGACACAACTGTTAAACATTAAAGGACTCCGTGTGAGACTTATGAATGAGATTCTATCTGGAATAAAGGTACCGTATGCAATAAATCTATTTCAAAACGAAGCATTAACATTTATTGTTTCCGTAAATTTTATAATATCTAAAAACACGCTTTTTAATGACAGCCCTTTGATATTGAGTGCTACAAAATATATTTTTTTTAATATTGCATATTTTATAAGAAATACTTTAATTAAGGAAATGACTGTTATGAGGTTATTATAATATATACATAATGTACATTGTTGATAACAATACTGAATTCTTATAAACGAGTACACGGATTTAAACCTATTTTGGACGATTTTAAAGAAGTGAATGAGTTCAATAAATTAGTAAATACTCAGTCCTGTTTTATAATCTCCTTATAATAATATAACACCACCAATGATTTGACATATAAAAAGAACTTTGCTACTGTGAGTACAATATTGATTTGAACTCTGGAAACAAAAAAAACGAGGCTAGATGAAGAAAAATGGATTAAATATGATTTGTTTATTTTATTTTATTTTATTTTATTTTATTTTATTTTATTTTATTTTATTTTATTTTATTTTATTTTATTTTATTTTATTTTATTTTATTTTATTTTATTTTATTTTATTTTATTTTATTTTATTTTATTTTATTTTATTTTATTTTATTTTATTTTATTTTATTTTATTTTATTTTATTTTATTTTATTTTATTTTATTTTATTTTATTTTATTTTATTTTATTTTATTTTATTTTATTTTATTTTATTTTATTTTATTTTATTTTATTTTATTTTATTTTATTTTATTTTATTTTATTTTATTTTATTTTATTTTATTTTATTTTATTTTATTATTTATCTATGTTTCTTTGTTTCTTTTTCTTCTTCTTTTTTTGACTCGGAAAACAAAAAGTGAGATTTAAATGATTTAAAGATTGAATCTAACATATTTCTTATTAGGAGATCACATGGTGCAAACGCTAAAAGTTCATTGGTTAAATTTTATAAAGTGTGAAATAATATTATGGTTAATTACTTTTGCGTACAATATTGACTTCTATGGAAAGAGTACAAAGCATATATTGTACACCACGTGAATAACAAAAAGATATTTTATAGCAGACGGAATTAAATTGTTCGTTTAAAGAATCGAGACAAAATAGTAGAAAGACATACATGTACGCTCTCAAAATGAACCCATGATTAAAAAAAATATTTTCAGGTATTGAAAATGTACGCATGGGAATATACTTTCATGAACAAGATCCAAGATATCCGCGATAAGGAGGTGGCATTTCTCAAACAGAACGCAACACTTATGGCAATCAGCACTTCCTTAGCCAATCACAGCCCTTATATGGTAAGTATTTTAAATTATTAACCTGGTTCCTTGTCCTGTTTTGGTTCCCATTCAAAATGGCTGTCTATAATTCCTTTTTAAGATTATAGCTTGGACATAATATATAATACGGGGAAGTCAAAGGCCGGGCCCGCGAAGTGGGTCCGGGCTTTGGCTTGCCCGCCTATAGACTACACGTGTATATTTAAAAGAAAATCACATAAAAAACAATTAAAAAATATATAAAATTCTATACCTATCAAAGAAATTTTCAGTGTCAGTTCTAGTCGGGCGCCGCCATTTACAATGTAGCTCAATGATAAATGGCGGGGTATTCCGATAACGGAACAAATCTCCACTTTTCGGATAAAGATAATCGCCGAGTGTTCCGAATGAAAACGGAAGCGGTACATGTAATACCGAATGACACCTTTAAAACGGAAAGAATGAAAGGAATTTTTAACGACTTCCCCGTCCATAGGCTTTGCCTAATTTCATATAACGGGGAAGTCAAAGACCGGGCCCGCGAAGCGGGTCCGGGCTTTGGCTTGCCCGGCTATAGACTACACGTGTATATTTAAAAGAAAATCAAATAAAAAACAATTAAAAAATATATAGAATTCTATACCTATCAACGAAATTTTCAGTGTCAGTTCTAGTCGGGCACCGCCATTTACAATGTAACTCAATGATAATAGGCGGGGTATTCCGATAACGTACCAAATCTCAACTTTTCGGATAAATAATAATCGTCGAGTGTTCCGAGTGAAAACGGAAGCAGTGCATGTAATACCGAATGACACCTTTAAAACGGAAGGAATGAAAGGAATATTTTAACGACTTCCCCGTTCATAGGCTTTGCCTAATTTCATATTATTATTATCGAAAGGGACATACAACCGAAGCTTAGTGCCGCCCAGCTGCTAAATTATCTCTTCGTTCAATCAGGCGCACACGCCGCCATTTTGTCTTGCTGATCCTTGTAAAAAGGGCGCTTTTTTTCCGTAGTAAAATATGAGCCGAGTGACGTTTGGTGTTAACAATCCATTTCTATTTAAAAAGTATTTACTTGTTTTATGTGAATTCATCGGTATATTAAAAAAAGATAATAACGGCATAAATATATGAATTACACATTATGTTTATCGTTTAATCGGGTGTCAATTTGACGCCGATATAAGAATGCTCATCTTGTACATATGTATGTAGTTGCTTGTCTTGTTATATACAGTACTGTTTGTAAATATAAGCATTTGTACAAAAGTTATGAACAAGGTTGTTCTCTCTAGCAAAGAAAGATAAAATCGCATGAAATGACAAGCACATGATATCGCAACTGTTCATCACATACAAAAAACTGGACCTTGTTGAATTCATAAATCTCCATCTAAACACGGGCTTAATTTTAAAAGCACACTGCAATGGTTGCAAGGCAAACTAATCAGATAGATCTCAACATTGAAGTTGAATCGATCCAAAGTCTAATCGTACCAACATTAGTCAAATCGGCTTCGAAATAAGTCAAATCGATCCGACTTAGGGCCGATTTGACTGTAATTCGTTATTTATAAGCTCTTTTCTGTTAGCCTGTCTATTTTTGTATAAGTTGGACTGTACATACATGTACCTATAGTTCTTCCATATTAATGTGTATGAAACTGCAGAATATATAGACCCTCAAATGCCTTTAAATGATAGGAACGAGAATTACGAGACGCCAAGGGAGGTAACTGGTGCCTTTTTTGTGACTAGATAAAAACAAAACCGACATTTATAATTGTTTATATTCCTATGCTTAAATTTTTGTGCAGATCCATCTAGTCTTGTTGTTGATCTATGTACTGACGTCACCGGACAGTTACGTCAGCTCAAGTGTCGTTTTTGTGTCAATGTCCGTGATTGTCATCATCAAAGGTCCACTAACTATACTACCGACACTTTTGAACACCCTGGTCCAGGTAAGTGAATAATGTATTTATCAGTATTAACAACGAAATAGAATTGAAACATAAATTAAGTTACAATGTATAAGTATATGAACTTATTTCGGATATTATGATAATATAACCTTAAGATGCACCTGGGACATACGATATCGTATATCCCAGGATGCACATAGGAACACATATGGGCACCTGGGGTCATGCTCCACCAAACAAGCACAAAAGTCCCCCCCCCCCCCCAAAAAAAAAAAATAAGCACTACTGTGTTTGTGTGGCATGACCCTTGTTGTAATAACTCTGGTTCTTACGTGATACCTAATGCCCACAAAAAATCAGTTTAAAAGCTAACTCATTCTTTGTGGAAACGCTCGTGTGTTGCATGGAACCATTTGCATGATAGTGTTGTGTGCGCACAGACAGTCGATGGCTTTTATTTTATTTAAACTGTCCCTTCCAGATCAATTTCTGAGCCTCTTCCCCGTAGAAATATACCAGAAGTGTTCTTTCTACGTACCTGAACAGATACAGACCCCTACACCAAACTTCATTTTACATAATTTAGTCTAGGAAACAAAATCTTTTCATGCAACTAGAACTAGAAATCATCTTATAATTTTCCAACATTTTTCATATGAGATAGCTGTCTACTGTATACTTAATATTCAACACTGCTTCTGTCAAATAAAAATAACCTAAATCGTAAAACATCGGGGTTTTCCGTACATTTGAAGCACACAGCCAGGATCAGATTGAAAAACACGGTATACGGAACGGTACGAAGCGTTTAATACTGTATCTGTCCGTCAAATACGGGATTTATTCATCTCCGCCGGCACATCGACACGAAGTTTTCAACGTTTTGTTCATTTTCCTAACTCTGCAAGAATGTCAACAGCTGTTATTATTGGAGGCGGTATAAGTGGATTGTCGTCTGCATTTTATTTGCAAAAAACTTCGAGTTTCGCAAAGGTATGGCATAGTTTACACATGTTTACATTACTTACACATTTTCGGATAGTGACTATTTCGGATATTGACATTGTCTGCAATTTGCATGGGTATGAATTACGCAAAGAAACTTGTGGTGTTTGGTACTTGTAACAAAGTTTGACACATCACTGCAAACTGGCACAAACATTGAAGCAGGATTTAACTATTTATTCCATTATGTATACCACTCATGGTGATTTGCCCTCTGTGAAAAAAATTAAAATGTAATAAAATCTAGTCATTAACAGATAAAATTGACACTAAAAATTTATGTTTCTACAGGTAGTTAAATGATATGTATATAATTATTTTTACCATGAAAATACCAGCTCATATAAGATTTGTCATTCATTTATATTCAGAGCAGTTACATTATATGATTATTATATGTTTATTCAGAACATTTTTGACCTTCAAGCATATATAGGTGAAATTAAAATTCATTGTCATGTGGCTTTTTGTCCCATGTGTAAATTTCATAGGGGGGGGGGGGGGTTTCTTTTGTCCACAATGTCATTTTAAGTATTAGGAGGGGGGGGGGGCAGGGGCTTGTTTATGGGAATGGGTCCTTTCCTGAAATTCATGGGAATTTTTTCTGTAGATTAAGTTAAGTATGCCTATGGGCCCCTGATGAGTAAAAATGCAATGAAATGTATGTGTTATATTTCAGATAATAGTTCTAGAGTCATCTAACAGAGTTGGAGGATGGATGAAGACTGTAAACACAGAGGACGGAGCAAAAATGGAGATGGGACCTCGTAGTATACGTCCCGTTGGTCCATCAGGGTTTAACACACTTTATCTTGCGGAGGAATTGGGCCTGTCCAATGATGTCGTACCTGTTCTCAATTCTCAGCCAGCTGCACGGAACAGATTTATCTATGCAAATGACAGACTTAATAAAATGCCTAACAGTTTGATGTCTATATTTAAAACAATACCGCCATTCTCGAAGCCGCTGTTTAAGTACGTGTATCATGACTTTGTCACTTCTAAAGACTCTAAAGAAGACGAAAGTATATATGATTTTATAAGCAGAAGATTTGATGAGGATCTAGCCAAGTATTTTATAGATCCGATGTGCAGAGGAATATATGCCGGAGACTGTCGAAAACTCAGTATAAAGTCCTGCTTTAGATTACTCCACTCGGCGGAAGAGAAACATGGATCTGTGTTAAAAGGTTTGGTTGCGAAGATAAGTAAAAAGAAAGATCCACCTGCTAGATTAAGCGATCTGGTTTTGAAAAAAACTAATGAAAAATGGGCAAGTTACTCTTTTAAACAGGGGCTACAACAGCTGTCTGATGGACTGAGGGATGCTGTTTCTCAAAATCCAGCTGTTGAAATTGCTATGAATTCCCGTTGTTCAGATCTGAGCTTTGTAAATGGTAAAGCAACGCTAACTGTTAATGGTGATGTTATTCAAGCTGATCATGTGATATCAAGTATTTATGCTAACGACTTGGCAAAATGTTTAAGCAAAGACCACTCTGCGTTGTCGAACAATTTGTCAAGAATACCTGCAGTTGATGCAGTGGTAACATGCATGGAATTTGATGGGAATATACAATTACCTGCACCAGGATTCGGACATCTGACTCCGTCATTTGAGAATAGTTGCGTTCTTGGCGTTATATATGATTCGTGTACCTTCCCACAGCATGATAGACCTGATAAGCCATCTACTAGGTGAGAATACTAAAATTATTACCCACTCTAAGCTGCAGAGTTATATGGACTTGTTCAGAACTGTCCAATATCATTTTTTGGGACATTAAAGGGACGCCATGGAAGTTTTAACTTTTTTTTGGCCATGATGGGACTGACTGCAATTAATACAACATGTTAATTTGTAACAGCCAATTTCATTGGCTAGCTGTAAGCTTGATATAGTCTATATACCTTCCTGCTGTAAACTTATAAAATTATTTTATATTATCCTCAGTGAAGTATAATCATGTATTTATGATTATGTGCTTGTAGGTATTGTTGATTACTATTAAAACCATTGCATGGCTGCACAAGTTATATAAGGTTATTAAATTTCATATCTCTCTCAGTTTTCAAACAGTGTAATACATGTATGACTTATATCTCACTGGAATTTTTTAATATCTCACTGATAAGCATTAAAATAAATGATTCTATATTACTATATCACAGGTTCACTGTAATGATGGGAGGGAGCTGGATGGACGATCTGAAAAAACAAGTTCCTTCGATGACACCTGAAGACTTAGGTCGGTTTGCTGTAAAGTCTATCCAAGCACAGCTAAAAATAGATCAAGAGCCGGCCAGGATTCATACAGAGATTCAGCGAGAGTGTATCCCACAGTATATTCTCGGACACGATAAACTTTTAGACAGTCTTTTTTCAGGGATCCGAGAGGAGAAATTACCCTTGAGTTTAGTCGGTTCATCGTACAAAGGACCTAGTGTTAATGACTGTATAGATAATGCAAGGTTAGAGATTGAGAGAGTAACTGGGGCTACCAGCCTTCAGTAAGTCGTATGACAATGTGATGTAATAGTTTATGAAATGCAGTGAAATATATTCTATATAAATCACTGTTAGTACAGGGCTATTTTTTCCTTTCTATAGCAAGGGCCATTATAGGGCTGCTTGTCCAATGAAAAAATCTTTAAAATCATGCAGTTCTCCCCAAAAACAGAATTTACATCAAGCTTTTTCTTCCTCTTTTGCAAATAGAGTAATTTTCCCCAAAAATTAAAAGCAGGACTGCTTACTTAACCTGAGAAAAAAGCCCTGTAGTATATCATTCATGCTAATAATTCAAGTAATAGGAGCTTCCATTCTTCAGTAGAATAGGGAAAAACAGAATTCCTGAGGAAAGCCCAAAACTGGCAAAAATTAAAAGGTCATATTTTTCATTCTCATATATTAAAGGGATTCCACTGAGCTCTTTTTGACATAACGGAACTGGAAATAAGTTTTTCGAGAATATAATGTTCCATTTGATGTAGGTCTACACAAATAACTTGTGTGCAAAATTTTAGATCAGTTGCTCACTCCATATTTCAAAAATAATTATTCATATTGTGAAAAATGGCCCAATTTGAAAAGCGTTTTAAACTTTTCACTAAAATTAGGCTTAGAATTGCACAAAATTATGATTTTATGGATATTTCTTCATTATCTTTTGCCTACCTGTCTGATTTAAGTGCCCAAGCTGATCTATGTAAGAAATTCAAATTTTATTTTCTAAATATTTTGGTACTCAGTGGAGTTCCTTTAAGAACTCACTGGGTTTTTCAGGTGAAAAATATTCAAAACCACTTACTGTAAATCCCTCATTCTGAAATAAAAGTAACAGGAGTTTTCAGCATACTGAAAGCTGTATAATTTATGTAGTAAAAAAAATAAAAATAGAATCTAATACAATCTGAAATACATGTACTTGGTTTTACCAGTGAAATATATTCTATATCACTGACTATATACATGTATCACTCATTCAGACATAACTGGTGCTGCCTATATAGAACAAAATTTTACAGAGATTTTGAAAAGTTCTATATGTTACTGTTAGCATTGTATCTGGTTTATTTTTAATCTGGAATTATTTATTGTATATATATCACAATATAGAAAGGTTGTAAATGTCAAATAATTTCTTGTTTTGTTTTTTATAACCTTTAAGCTAACTTCCATTGATAATTGACTATTTTCATGTATTTACGATTCCATTTTGGTTATTTTTTTGCATGCAATTTGGTATCTCCAAATCTACTGAAGGAAATAGGTTTTAACTTCACACACATACATGTATTCTGGGTGATTATCTTAGAAATTGGCATTCGTTCAATAACTCTGAGTTAATTTTTTATAGAGTTATGTCCCTTTTTTTACTGATAAGCTTTGAGATTTGTCGAGCATGCTGTCTTACAGACACCTCTTCTTTTCTATTGATATCTCATGTTATCTCCTATTGATATCTTCTGTTTTTTTCTATTGATATCCTAAATTATGTAATTTTGATGTTCCAAGTTTTCTATTGATATCCCATGCTATCATCTATAGATATCCCATGTTATCATCTATAGATATTCCAAGTTATCATCTATAGATATCCCATGTTATCATCTATAGATATCCCATGTTATCATCTATAGATATCCCATGTTATCATCTATAGATATCCCATGTTATCATCTATAGATATCCCATGTTATCATCTATAGATATCCCAAGTTATCATCTATAGATATCCCAAGTTATCTTCTATAGATATCCCAAGTTATCTCTTATAGATATCCCATGTTATCATCTATAGATATCCTAAGTTATCTCCTATAGGTATCCTATGTTATCATCTATAGATATCTCATGTTATCATCTATAGATATCCCATGTTATCATCTATAGATATCCCATGTTATCATCTATAGATATTCCATGTTATCTCGTACAGATAACCCATGTTATCTCCTATAAATATCCCATGTTATCTCATATAGATACCCCATGTTATCTCCTATATATTATTCCATGTTATCATCTATAGATATCCCATGGTATCATCTATAGATATCCTAAGTTTACTTCTGTAGATATCCCATGTTATTTCCTATAGGTATCCTTTTGCTGTTTTAAGTTGTCTGTTGATATCCCAAATTATCTTTTACTGATATCTCAAGTTATCTCTTTAAGTTATCTGCATTTGATACCCCATTTATCTTCATAGTTATATCCCAAGTTACTTTATATTTATAGCTTTTGTTATGTCCTTGTCATGGGATGTCCAATTTGAAAGACCCTGCCCTTACTATCCCATGTTCTTTGTCATGGAGAACTATGTTATCTTCTTTTGATATCTAATTTGTATTACTATTTCCGATTGATATCTAATGTCATGTACAGTTGATGATATCTGCTATTGATATCTGATTTTATCATCTATTGATGTTTCTTTCTATCGTTATTATCTATGTTGGTATTAAGCAGGGGAAACAAATAATACAGATTTAAGATTTAGTGTATGTAAGAGTTATCTCTCTTGGAAGTGTGAAGGGAACCGTCGAGTGCTTTGTATGTGGATAGAGGAATAATTGAGATAATGCACGTCATTTCTGTTTGTGTATGTGGCTGATATGATTACACAGATGGAGAAAAACATAGTTAGATTTTACCATTAACTCAAGAAGTACCAAGAAATAATTTAAAAAAATGTATAGTGTTGTGGTAATTTTGCATCATTTCTAAGTCATATGCTTGAAAGGTTCATTATGATGTGAATACATACATGTAATTAGACCTACCTTTTTATGAATGCTGGATGACTGATAGCCCATATAGAAGATACTGTTCAGGCGAACATTTTTTCAACAACATTACGTTTTATGCAATCGAAATCTGTAGATCTTGAAATGAAAATAAGTTACCATGACTTGGAATTGCCGATGATTAGGTGTGGGTTAAATATTGAGTACAAAAATTATTTTCTATACAAGCCCATGTTTACAAGCCCATGTTTTATGTGTATTTTAGATCTGGGAGGGGTTTATATATTATTTTATTTATTTATTTTTTGCGGATGGGGGGGGGAGGGGGTTGAGTGAGTGAGAGTTGACCGGATGGGGACGTTAATAAAAGGAAATAACTTTCCATTTATCTACACCCCTGAATATCCGAAAAGTATCAAATGTTCACATTGGAACATGCCAGTTCATAGATAATAGCGTTATTTGCATAAAAGGAAATTATAATTTACGTTGTATATCAATGGAAGAAAAAACATTTGAAAACATTGTTAATACCAAAGGGTGACGAGTTTAGGGCAACTTATTATTAACCACTTTAGGACAATGTGAAGCTAGATTGCAAGTATGGATAGCGCGGTAAACAACCCAACTATTGCACCAAATATCGTATTAATAAATAAATAAAAGAATTTATCAGAGCACAGTCCAGCTACCGCATTGTGCATGGGCAGGCATGTCAAGCGTTTTCCCGTACTAGTTTCTTTACTTTTTGCAATGAACTGTAATTTTTGTACAGGGCCCGGGGTAAGGTACTGGGAAATTCGAAAAAGGATTTAAAAAACGGGCCCCAAACGAAAGTGGCCACACCGCCCAGAAACGAACCCCGGTTTCCCGATTCACTGTCCAACGCTCTACCTATTGATCTAACTTGACGGTGCACAAAACTTCTGTGCGTTAGTACACTTTTATATGGATAATGGCAGCAGTCTACGCTGTGTTGAAATAATTCACAGGTACAGTCGAATTCAGACAAGTACAAAAGTGCAAAAGTAACTCTGCTTTTTATCGTAGACATATAGTAAACTTGTCACAATATTGAATTATAGTTCTATAAATCACCTATAACATACCGCACGATGTATGCGCGTGCTTCTATTAGCATCGACTGCTAAAATAGGCATTATATCCATAGATAATTATATCACACTTATTACGATTTTATTACATTTGCAATAAAAAACAATACTAGAATGAGACATCCATCATATTTTTGTGAGCGTTCGAGTCTGGGGGTAAAATTAGGTCGACAACTACAATATGGTATAAATTATAAGTGGACGAATTAACCTAGTGACCAAAATAGTTGCTGACTACAAATATTCTAGTGTTTTAGTCAGACACATACCCACCAAATAAAAAATAGAAAGAAAGAAAGAAAAGAGCATTTAAGAAAAAAAACGACGAGTGCTTAAAAAGCGTTCCATATACCCGCCAAAAAAAACAAAGAGTAAAAGAAAGAAAGAAAGAAAGAAAGAATATACCCGCAAAAAAAAACAAAGAGTAAAAGAAAGAAAGTAAGAAAGAAAGAAAAGAAAAAATCACTAAAAAACGACGAGTGGTTCAATAAATAACGTTAAACATTATTAAGTGATTTCTATGTAATGATATTTTGACTTAGTGTACAGTATCCTATAGTAATGTTTCATTTCAGGCGTACGTTTCATTAACAAGAATTGAAGAGTTTCTATGTTCTTCCGACCTGGATGATACTGAATTTGATGTCGTTAAACCTGCAGGTAGTAAGAATTTTACAATAAGTTAGTATATTACATAGATTACGCTATTCGCGTTGTTAGAAAGTGCATTCGACCGATGCGCAGGAGAGTAGTTTTTTTTTCTATAAAAACATGATTTATTTTCATCGAGTGGTATGAAAATAAATATTTCACGAGTGGCGATAGCCACAAGTGAAATATGATAATTTTCATCATCACAAGATGAAAATAAATCCTATATTTACAGAACAAAACTTGAATTTTCTGTTTATTTATTTTTGACCTTACAATTCTTAATTAAGACTTCTCCTTTAATTTTGTGTATTTGCTGAATTAAGAAGAAAGTAGTCCTTCAAGATACCAGCTAGTGACAGTACGAAAAATATGTTGCAATACAGTGAAAAATAAATGGTTTAAGTGAAAATACAGAAAAATGAAATTATTCATTTTATTTCATCAATACTTCTCAATATTTCATTTATAAATATATAAAAAAATGTTTACGAGGTGGTAAATATTCAAAATGTTTAGACTTGATCCCTCGAAGTGCTAGTGTTGAAAATAAAAGACGTATGCTCTAATTATAATCAGTCAGACCCGCATATTCGCTTAGCTTGTCCAAGCTCTGAGCTCTTGGGAACTTAAGTTGAAAACCCAAATTAATAATAACGCATCCAAATCAAAGTTAATAATGGCATATAAAGATCCAAGTAAATGATAAAAAACATGAAAATTCAAGTTAATACTAAAACATTAAAATGCAATAATAATTGGAAAGAGCAAGAAAGTTAAAGAGACTTACTTTACAATCGTCATGTGATTTTTTCTGCTTTGAGCTTTTATGGTTTTAAAATTTGGCCATGAAACCAATTGATTTAAAGTTACTGTGTTCTAAAAAATATGTTTTTATATGTAAATATGTGTCGTGATCTTCTCTTGTAGATTATAGCGTTTATGTACGCGATGGAACGTTCACGTGGGATACCGACGACCCGGAAGAGAGTCTGTCCAGGTAAAATGATTGTCGTCTGCTTTTAAAGATTGTCGTCTGTTGTTGTTGTTTTGTTTTTTTAATTTCCATTTTTTTTATTAAAGATTTTATCGTCAGCACAGCACATATGCCTCAGAAATCTATATATTTTGGTTCTTCACAAATCATTAATGTGAAGCAATGTTTTGATAAATGATTAAGAGCATGTTAGATGTTTAACATACTGAAGAAAGTAGGGCTGAATATGCACTGATGTGTCGTAAAGATAGCATTAACAACTTTTTTTGAGAGAGAAAAAGAAGTTTTTTTTAGGCACAATGGGCCTTTAAATCAAACATACATATGAATACTTTCTTTATTTCGTCGTTTTTTGAAAACTGTCACAAAGTACCTAAAAGAAAAAATGTTTATAGAGAATTGTTTTTAGAGAAAAACGATTGTTTGACTCACAATGTTAAAGTAAACATACATTTGAATAAATTTTTTATTTCGTCATTTCTATGACGACTGTTAAATAGATAGTTTTATCATTTTCTGTCCTCTAGAATCAATCTTAAGATCCGAGCTGGCCAACTTATTGCTGTGGTGGGATACTGTGGTTCCGGCAAATCATCTTTGTTGTCGGCAATTCTCGGAGAAATGCGGAGATTGAGCGGTCACGTGCAGGTCAAGGTCAGTAGTATTTTGTTGTTGTTGTTGTTTTTTATTGCAGAAAAAATAAATTACATTGCTTAAATAAACAGTAACATTAAAAAATGTACTTAAAGCTTTCAGCAATAAGCACGTGTTTTTTGTTTTTGTTTTTAAAAAGACCGCAATAATGTTGTAAGAACTGCCAAATTCTTTCATATGTACATTTGATAGTTGTTTTTGTAAAATTGTAGAATAATGTGTGATTTATTCAAGTGCAGTACAGTACAATACAAAAACAGCACAGCACAGCACAATACAGTGAAGTGCAGTGTAGCGCAGCACAGCACAGCACAGTACAGTTCAGTTCAATACAATACAATATAGTTCAATATCATTTAACTTTAACTGATTTATGTGATGAAAAGATAATGACATCTACTCTAGCGTTCATTATACACATGTATATATTTTTGGTCGGAACGCTGGCGTCGTTATGTTTGACACTTGGGCTCTTATATTAGAAAGAATGGAACACCTCAAATTATTTTAGATAATAAATTTGAGCCGTGTCACGACAAAACCAACATAGTGCGTTTGCGACCAGCATGGATCCAGACCAGCCTGCGCATCCGCGCAGTCTGATCAGGATCCATGCTGTTCGCTATCAGTTTCTCTACTTGTAATAGGGTTGGTAAGCGAACAGCATGGATCCTGATCATACTGGGCGGATGCGCAGGCTGGTCTGGATCCATGCTGGTCGCAAAACCCATTATGTTGGTTTTGTCGTGACACGGCTCAATTATTATTTATATTTTTACCACAGGGATCTGTTGCTTACGTCCCACAAGAAGCCTGGATTCAGAATATGACATTAAGAGACAATGTTCTGTTTGGTAAAAGTTATAATCATAGTAAGTACTGGAAGGTCATAGAGAACTGTTCACTAAAATCTGACCTGGCTATGTTAGATGGTGGAGATGCTACTGAAATCGGAGAAAAGGTAATTCATCGGTGACCAACAAATAAGGAAATATTTTGTACCAAAAAAACGTATATCTTGTTTCCCGTTTTGGAATTTATTTTTTAAATTTTTTATAGGTGATTCCTATTTAAATGAAATACTCTGACAAGAGTACACTTGGAATTTTGAGGTCGGTGTAAGCTATTTTGAGAATATTTTTGTTTTTGTTCAGGCATGAGTACCGGCGCATGAATACATCTACGGATGCTTTGAAATTTAAAAAAATCACCGTTTCAATTTAAATTCTGCTTGCTGAAGCCGGTGCTAGAGGGTGTGGGCAGTGGCTTGCTGCATTTCATTTTCTTATTTATTAAATAGGGTACGAATATTAGCGGAGGACAAAAACAAAGAATCAGCATGGCACGTGCTGTGTATAGCAACGCAAACATCTACTTCCTTGACGACCCTTTGTCAGCCGTTGACGCTCACGTGGGGAAGGACCTTTTTAAAAACGTCATAGGAAACAGTGGCATGTTGAAGAATAAAGTATGTGATGGCCTCATTTTTTAATTTCTATTATCATTATTATTATTATTATTTGAGAGGGGGGCGGGGGTAAAAGTTATACGAGTAAAATTTTCATTTTTGTTTTAACCTTGCACGGAATAAGTCATTTAAAGGAACTTCGCTGAGGTCAAAATGCCTTAAAACATAAAATTTGTAAATCTTACAAGTATCAAGTGAATCACTTAAAATGGAAAAAAATATCAAAAATAACAAAAGTGATATACTCACAATAAAATTGAAAATCGAACTTTTTTGTGCGATTCTAAGCCGGATATGAGTGAATAGCGTAGCAATGCTTTTAAATTTAGGTCATTTTGTACAATACAAATTATTATTCTAGAAAAAATTAGGGTGAGGGAATCAGTTGAAGATTTTCACACAAGTTATCGGTCAAGGCTTACAACAGTTTGTACACAAATCTCAGAAAAATATTTCCAGTCCCGTCATGTCAAAAAACCTCAGTGGAGTCCCTTTAATGCTAAAGTATACATTAAATATACTCTCTAATTATAATCAATGGATTATTAGGCATAATTATGTTGAGAAAATATGTTATGTAAGCGATGAACATTTCTGTTTACACACCAACCCTTCGTAGTTTTAAAACATTAACCACGTGCTTTTAAAAATTGCAGACGAGAATTCTGGTAACGCACGCTATCCATTGGTTACCGCTTGTTGACAACATTATTGTGATGAATGACGGTAAGATATCAGAATGTGGCACGTATGATGAGCTAATGATGCACAATGGACCTTTTGCCCAGTTTCTGCTTCAGTATCTACAGAACGAGCCGCCTGAGGAGTTAAACGACCCAGAGAGTGAGCTGATTTTTAATTGATCATTCGACCAGGCCTTTACCTAACCATTTTTGGGGAAAAGTACCTTGGCCAGCTTAGGAAATTTTATGTCGCAAATTGGGAAAAATATTTGATACCTTTTGAAACCTTCTTCTTGCTCTTTTGGTAAAGTAATTTGAATTATGCGAACTTGTTCATTTCAACTAATGCAAATGGCACTCAAAAGCATAAGCAATACATTAAAATTTGACAATGAAATGTGTGGAAACATCTGTCTGAAACTATACTGAAATGAACGCCAGCAAATTTGTCACTTTTGATATCAAGAATTTCAACGCGATTAGGAAGAAATAAGCATATTTGCCAATGGGAATGAGTCATTATGCCCTAGAAATGCCTTTATTTCTATTTCTACTTTTGATGGGCTTTAATAGTTTAAAAAAAGATACTCTTTTGCAAGTCATCTGAACCATCTTGTTCTACTGTTGTTGCTTTTTGGTTATTAGTGAAGTTATATTGATATAGTATTTTGTATGGAAGGCAAAATATTACTATGTTTACATTTTGCTACATTTATGGCCAATATTTTCACATTTAGCGGAACTCTCTTCAGGTAACAAGTATCTAATATGCTTGAATACAATTATTGTTACATGATATAGGCCTAACTCGTGTTTATGTTTATTCGTTTTGAGGCATTATAAGCTTTTTAAATGTCTTGAAATAAAATTAAAGAGGGAAAACCGGAATACCTAAAGAACGCCGAAAGCGACAAAATTGAAAATATTGAAGGTTCGGTTTAATTGGGCCTGTTCATTGACGGTTAAATAAGTTTGGTTTTAACAGTTCTTTTCAAACAGCTTTCTAGAATATGCTTACGTTTACATTGCAGTTCAATGGATAAGAGAAAACATGCTGGAACAAGTCGAGACAGTGACGTCAGAAGGTGGAGACGGAAACTCGTCAGAAGATGCGGCGTCCAGGGTCAAGGGCAAAAAATGGAAGTACGTCCCTCCATTAGTAATATTCATAAGTCTTGATAAAAAGTTACTAATTCAAAGAAAGACAAACTATAATTATAAATTTGTCTTATTAATTGAAGAATTCTATATGTTTTACGGTAATAATAAAGATATGGAAAAGTACTATATTTCAAGCTTCGATATTTGCATTGACCTAAACGGCCTAAACATAAGTTATTTTTGATAATTTGATCATATGATTTCATTGTTCACGCCATTGATTTGCTTTATAATGAAAAAAAATCATAATTTCATAGTCGCATAATATCTTCTTCTAATCCTACTAAAGAACACATAAGGACGTTTTGCTTGATAACTTGGTTTATGTATATTAAAGGAAGAAGAAAACACGTAAACGACATTTGTCAAGCTTGTCAGTTAATCAGTCAAGTATTAGAGCAATATCTACACAGATTGCCATGACAACACAGGACACCACGCGCCTGACAACGGAAGAAGTGGTTCATGAAGGAACGGTAACGACTCGCTCATTTTACTTACTTCATCAATTTAAAGTCATCAGTGATACTTATCTGTTTGACTCGGGCCCTTAACCGGTTTAATTGCTTGATTCGAACCCTTAAACAGTTTACTTGCTTGATACACACACAGTTTATTTGTTTGATTCTGTAATGGTTTACATTTGATAAGTAAACAAAAAGAAAAATACATGATGAAGGAATTTAAACGATTTCTTAGAGTTAGCCAAGTTATGGGGTTTGACCGAATGTTTAGGTCAATTTAGATTTTTTTCCCGACTTTTCCAGGTTAACTTCGGTGTTTTACCGGACTATTTCAAGTCATGTGTTGGTTCTTTGTTAGAGGTATGCGTTCATTGACTGCTGCCATTCTTTGTTGATCTTGTTTTTTCATATATTAGAAGTTTTCCTCGACATTTTCAGGTCAAGTTGGAAGTTTTGATGGACTATTTCAAGGCAATGGGTAAATGGGTGGCACTTACTTCAGTACTTCTAATGGTATCCTACCACACCCTGACAGTCTATTCCATGTTCTGGTTGACATTCTGGACAGAGGATCCGTTCTTAAAAAACCGTAGCAACGCTGTCCTTGACGAATATACAGATAAATCCATCAATTATCTCATCATTTATGCAGTACTGGGAGTAATCCAAGGTAATATTCTTTTTCCAATATATCATTTAAGCTAGGGAGTTATACTGTCAAATATTTTACATGTTCCCCAAGGTAGTTTTCTTTGTCCAATACCATTTATCTATGACGTTGTACTGTATTTATGCAGTACTTGAAGTTCTCCAAGGTAAATTTCTTTGTTAAGCTAGGAAGTTATACTGTCTAATCCTTTTTGATGCTTAAGGTGTTCCCCAAGGTAGTTTTCTTTGACCAATATTATTTTATTATGAAGTTTTTTGCTGTGTTTACTTTTTTTTCATTTGATTTTTTTGTTGGGTTGTACGTCACACCAATCCAGTACATGTATATGTAATATGGTGACTTTTCAGCTTGAATGTTTAGGGAGACCTCAGGTGCCCCTTTGTATATTATTTCAGGCACAAACGGGCTCGTAAGTAGAATCACCGACGTTCCGTAAATTAGCTGGAACTGTCGCATTGTTTATGCTATATTGCAGTTTTCTCTGTCCAATATTTATTAAACTACGCAGTCAAATCAGTTATGTTGTATTTGAATACTACAAGGTAGTTCACTTTGTCCAATAATATTTTACATTTGAGATTAATGCCTTTAACAAATTCTGTTTAAATTTAGGAGTGCGCTTTCCAACATTGTTTACTTAGGCAGAATTCCAACTTGAAGATAGTTCATTTTGAATACATTTAATCTACTAGAGTGTACTGTTTAAGTAAGATTATGATTTTTTTTGTATATGTGGCAAGATTCTGTAATATAACTTAGTGATGTGCTATATTTAGTAACAAAATGATTATTGGCAGTGTTTATGCACAGGAACTTGAAATTATATCAATATTAATGATAATATCCAAAATATACCCCCTATACAGTATAAATAAACTTATACTGTATAGGGGGTATATTTTGGATATTACTATTAATATTGATAGAATTTCAAGTTCCTGTGGTTTATGTCATATAATCTATTATTGTGCTATTTTTAGTAACATCATGATTATTTCTTTGCAGGGGTTGCAGTGTCTTTGGTATATAATCTAGTCTGATCTATTTTTAGTAACATTATGATAATTTTTTTGTAGTTTTGGCAATTGCTGTCATATAACTTAGCGTTGTGCTTAGTAGCATTATGATTATTTCTTTGTCGGTGCATAATGCTATTTTTAGTAACAAAATGATTATTTTTTTCAGGGATTGCAGTTTTTGTGTCATATTACCTAGCGTTGAATAGATTGATACAGGCGTCGTCAGTTCTTCATTCTAAGATGTTGACAAGCGTCCTCAGATCACCGATGTCTTTCTTTGATAGTGTTCCAATAGGAAGAATTCTTAATAGGTATCAGCATATATATAGACATTCGTTTTTATTTTTATTTAGATACAAAGATAGATTATCGTAACCAATGAATGCCCATTCGGGGGAATTTATTTATGAAGTTATCGACTACTTTACCAGAGGGTCACTCGTCTCTTATGTAATGTTTTACGTTAGTGCAAATAACGGCAGAAGAAAGAAAACATCTGTAAAGAAATATCCAGATGAAAATCATCAAATTCATGCAGCTCGATCGTGTCGCATTTGAACTCTCGACCATTGGCTTCAGCGAAAAAAAGATTCAAAATGTAAATGATTAAATTATCGTAGCTCGTGTGGCACTTGAATTCGCGCCCATTAATTGGCTTCAGTAAATAGACATAACATTGTAATCCACTATGCCTGAAATTTATTTTCAAGTTTGTTTATCTGCTTTAAAGACTGTTGTCGCCAGTTCGAATCCAACGCGGGGTGACAGTTTAATTCAGGCGCATTTAAATCTATCTTCACCTTACAAATATTAAAATAATGAGCTGTCACCATCTGACCAACAAAACTGTAGTGTGCTTTACAATCGGAACACCTCGGCTATTATCAATAACAATATCCTTATCCGAAGACTGACGGATAGGGCCGAAAAGTTGCGATTGGTGTGCTTTATACTTAGCTCAACTTGACAAAGATAAAAATGAGCATACTATGTCACTTTAACTACTTTGAAGTACTAACAATTATAATTAAGGATAGTCTTTCCACTGAAATAATAACTTTTCTATTACGGAGATGGTCATTAGACATTACATGCAAGTCATACTGACATTTTAACCGTCGGCAAAATATATTTATTACCACACGAGAAACAGCTGGGTCATTTCGGACAGCAGACGACCTTGCATTAAAACAGCTGCTTTTAATAAAGTGGACAATAACGATAATACTAAAAATAGTTCAACCCTAGGTTATAGTAAACAAACAATGCAAAATGGCACATTTATCAGAACGTGCTGGTAGGAATTTTCTGTAACAACTTATACTTTGATAATTATAAAAAAAATTATTGCAAGAGAAGGAGGTTAAGAGGGTATAAATCAAACGTTATGCCGGGGGGGGGGGGGGGCGGCTCTGGTCGAGTGGTTAAGTTCGTTGAATACAAACCGCTTGCCTCTAACTGCTGTGGGTTCGAATCCCGACAGGAAATTTGGATTCTTTCATGTGAGGAAGCTTTCCAGCTTGTCTCCGGAACTCAGGTGCCCATTAGTGCCTGAATCAATGCAAGAGGAGGCACCTGAGGTCTTCATCCACCAGTAAAGCTGGAAAGTAACTATATGACGTTTAAATAATAAATAGTTTATAATAATAATAATGGTGATGATGATGATGATAATTATCATCTTCATCATTATAAAGGTCAAAAAACAATATTATAAACCTTGAGTTTTTGATCAAACACTATAACCATGCAGAGTTTAAGAATTGATTTAGTTTACATTTTGTCTTTATGAAAACTATATAATTTTTGCAACACGGGGCTCGTTGGTTTAAGCCTTTCTTGGGTAGTGACCATGTTTCGTCACATGACGTCAGCTGTGGTAATATTCATGGGAAAAAAAACTTGAAAGTAGATTTACAGAGTTCCAAACTTATATCACAAAAAGCTAAATGAAGAATGTTTAAACTTAAACAAAATAGGAGATAATACGGGCAAGTCAAATTTTATGTAACTAAAATCAGCCGTGTATTCTGATAACGGGACAAACGCAAATTTTCGGCTTCAGAGCACTAGTAATTGTCGAGTTGTTCCGATTAAAAACGGTGCTTGAAATACCGAATGACACCTTAAAAACGAAAAATGTAAATAAGAATGAACGAATATTTTTATCTGACTTTCCCGTCCTTAGGCTTTGCCTACATTCATATAATTATTTATCTAATAATAGTTAAACTCTCTCATTTGTTCCAGATTCTCGAGCGACATCGACACGTTAGACAATAAATTACCGGAATCTTACCGTGTGTGGATCAACATGCTCTTGACGACGGTGTCGGCCATTGTTGTCATGGTGATAAGCACACCAATCTTCATCCTCGTTATTGTACCAACTGTTGTCATCTTGGTTGCCATTATTGTAAGTAATTTTACCGTTTTAGTGCACGTGATTGATCACGTGATTATTTGCTTATTGAGCATGTGCAAGCCGCCATATTGATATTTTCTAAAAAAAAAAAAAGGTTCCAAAGTTAAATTTATTTTTTTTAATCTATAAGGGACTTATGTTTACTTGTAAATTTCTATTGTGTTTTTTTTGTTTTGTTTTTCTTTTGTTCTGCAAGAATTCATGCGGCGTACTCTCTTAAAAGTCTTTGATGTATAAAGTAATCTAAAAAAAATTGCGTGAACATATTTGGATCTCATGCCTAGTAGTTTAAGTGTCTGACACTTAAACTCAAGAACTGTGGGCTCGAACCCTATTCGGATCGTCACCATGTTTCTCTCTTGCACACCAGTACAGTTTATTGCCAGGAAGCGGTCTCCGTCTCGGTATTTCACACCAGTACTGTCTATTACCAGCAAGCGGGCTCCGGGGGTCGCAGGTGATATATAAAAGTTGCATGGCATGTTGCGCAATTGACCTTAAATAAATAAATAAACAAGTCACACACTAGACATTTTAAAACGTTAACTTTATACATGACACCATATCATCATTTAATTTATCTTCTTTATCTAGTACTTTTATCTGCCGACGACGCGCAAGATGCGCCGGATAGAGGCTGTCACGAGATCACCCATCTACAACTACTTCAGCGAAACCCTGACTGGAGCGGCTGTTATCAGGTAGATTATGTTCACCTTCTTTGGCATCCTAGGAGCATCAATATGTTCTCCTAGGAGCGTCAATATGTTCACTTTCTTTGAAATCCTAGCAGGATTGCTACTGTATGCATCATGTTCACTTTTTTGCTTGGCAACGCTTTTCAGTTTTAGGTCATTTTTCATAAATAGAAAAATTACTCTCAATTTACGGAGTGAGCGAACGATCTAAAATTTTGCATTCAAGTTATAGGTCTTGACCTACATGAAGTCAAACATTGATCTCGTAAAATTATTCCCAGTCACATCATGTCAAAAAATCTCAGTGGAGTCCCTTTAAAGTTTACGAAAGGGAGTAGATTCTACTAATGGTCCCGCTATGCCTGAAATAATACATTGTATGATGGGTTTTAAGTCCCACAGGCAGTATTAAGGTCATGTGGTGACTTTAAAACTAATGGATTAAAACCTCAGATACCCTTTATGCATTATTTAAGGCACTATCGGGTACTGGAATAGAACTACCGGCGTTCCAATAGCTAGCTAGATAGCTTCTTTACATATTTGTCCAAAGAGCAAGGAGAGATTTGAACGCTTTAAGGGAACAAGTTTTTCGAAGACAGTGACCTTAACCTCATCTCCTTATAGTCCCTTATTACGGCTGTTAGACAGTATAAACCCAAGATAGATTTTTTTATATCACGGTAATTGTGCGACAGTCTGCTATTTTGATTATTCAGCGTTTTTTACTGTCAACTTAGATGAACCGTCATGTTTAACGCACCATTTAGCCAGTAGTCAGGAGTCAAAGGTTCTCTAGAAAGTGCAATATTTTTTATTGGAATTGTTCGCATAGCGCTCCGGTCAATTTGAAATCACAACCGCTGTATAACTTCATTAATAATTTATATTGTAATTGTTCGCATGGCGATCCGGTCAATTTGGAATCATAACCGGTGTTTAATACATTATGAATACTTAAACAATCGTTAATAACGAGGCATTAACGTTCAAACCTTGATAAGCTGATCATTTTTTAATTGCCTGCTATGTCATATATTGATAAACTGCCCTTTATTACATGTTTGTCTATTGCACACAGAATTCGGGAGCATCTTCATAAGCCCTGCAAGATTGCACACGCGAGCGCGCGTGCAGAAATTGTATATTAAGTAGATCGTTAAACATAAAAAAGTGATAAAAAGAAAACGCTGACGACTTAGACAGAATCGTTACGTTGAACAATATTTCTGGCGTGTGAAGCAATAATACTTTTTGGTGAATGATAAATGATATTTGATGAAATGTTTCGCAATGTCTCTGGTCATTATGAAATAGTCAGGACATAAATTGTTACAGAAAGTATGAATTAGTCAATTCATTATTCAGTTTATTTCTATTATGTAGGAAGCTATTAGCTTACAGTTGCGCTCTCGAGTGCTGAAATCTAAGGCTGTTATTCACATTTTTGCTTTTATTTTCATAAATATTTTTTAAAAAAATCAAGTTTTTCCTCTATGGACGGGATTTATCTTCATCGAGTGGTATGAATAATTAATATGATGTTTTCGAACCACATGATGAAAATCAATCGCATACTTATAAAAAAAAACAACAACTTTTTTTGGTTATTTTATAATTTTACGATTCGCAAGACTCCCCTTCAATTTTGTGTAATGAATGAGGTAAGAAGAAAGTACTCTGACAGGACACAAGTGAAAATACGGAAAATATGCTTCACTGCAGCGAAACAAAAATTCTACAGTGAAAATATGAAAAATACGTTTCACTGCAATGAAAAAAAATTTTGACAGTTAAAATACTGAAAATAAAATTATGCATTTTATTTCAACAGTATTTCTCCATATTCTTTTTATAAGTGTATTATATACATGCTTACTGATAAAGAAGTATATCTTCAGCACTAAAGGTATAGTTTTTAAGCACAATGAATGAAAGGCGTGTAATTAATTAAAAGTTGCAAGTATTGAATGATCTAAATTAATTACTTGCCCTGAAGATAAAATTCATCAAAATGTGTTCAAACTTTATGAAGATTTTTAAGCAATTCTATAAAGATTTAAGGTGCAAAATTTCTGCAAATTAGAAAAACTATGTGCTGAGTTATTGTAAGAAAACTAATAAGCAGAATCGTTCCTTCTTAAGATAGATTAAACATAATTTTAATTACATTCAAATAGTAATTTTAGAGCATGCTAGTGTTCTGAAGACAGTAGCACTAAATTTAACTGTTAATTTATTTGTAGTAAAAATTCGTAAAATTTAAAGAAATTAGTATTTTGACTTCCATACAAAATGCTAAATCACTATACGTTTATAACTGTACTCATTGCCAAAAAAAAGCAACAGAGGAAACAATGGGTCCAGTAATAAGATACCTTTAGAAGCAATAAAAAAAACACCAAAAATAAAAAAAGTTTTTGGAGCATACTGGACCTTTCAGATTTACATTTGTTTAATTTCATTAGATCTTTTATTTATTTATTTATTTATTTATTTATTTATTTATTTATTTTTATCTCGCCTTTATTAAGATGTCATGAGCTTGCACAAAGATTGCAATAATTTTGCACTTTTTAGTAAAATTTCTTGATAAATATAGGTAAGCAAGACCTATGTAATACATTGGATGCATTTAGTTGTTTTCAAAGACAAAAGAATCAATTATGTATACTCCAACAATTGTAGCCTTGGTCTCAAATGATTTTATCACCTATTTTTGATTAAATTATCATTAATAACATGCAACTTAGTAAATATACAAATAAGTAAAACAATAGAAGTGGGTGGACTGGACACCCCTGCCGTACTCCTAAAAAAGAGATTGATTCCGTGGTGATATTAACGATCAACCAGTGACGCTTTAGCTGTTACACGAAGATTGTTTTATATGACGTGAGTTGCGTTTTTTACACGGTGAACATCTTTAGTGTCGAACGAGCACTCGTTAATACCTCGTTGATTGAAATTGTCTGGGTCATGTTATTTTCTCACATGCACAATTTGGCAATTGTTTTAATAAGGCATATGTAAAGATTTCAAGCCTACGCGCAAAGACAACGTCAATGAAATGTAAATTTGCGAGTTTATGTCATTGTTGTCGCATACTTTATTTCATATTTATTTCTTAAGCGATTCGATTTATTAGACTTAGATTTGTTGTTTTATGCTTTTCGCTTTGTACAACTGTTTCAAAGATCTTTATTACGTTCCTGTACACATTTTCTTCATTTAATGCATGTTTAACTTGTGCAAATACGACCCATTAGAAAATATTTACTGGCAGAGGAAGACCATAGACGTCCTCTGTGCATTATTTCAGACGCAGACGGGCGCCTCAGTAAAATAAGCTGAGAGGATAGCTCTCTCACGTGAAATAATGCAAAGATAATAACTCTTTTATAATATCATAAATTGAAAATTACTTTCTGAATGATGATGATCGATGATGCAGAATTAGACATACCAAATTTTGAAATTATCTTCAAGCAACAACAAAAAAACAACAAAAAACAAACAAACAAAAAAAACAATAATCAAACAAAATATTTACTAGATTTTCTTTCTGTAACTTCATATTTATCTACTAATCTTAAAAAATGCTTTGTAGATAATCATCTAATTTTTGACATATCTTAACCAGTTGCTGATCTGTCGTTTTGATCAGTCTTAAGTGGTGGGTTCAAAACTTTTGAGTTTGAATAAAATAATAATTTGAAAGCAGACTCCAGATAATAACAATATTAAGTAACTGTTTAATTGTTAAATTGACTTCCATTGTTTGCATTTGTAATATTTTTCTTTAATTTCTTAAAATCAAAATTAATCAATTGTGTTTTTTTTAACATATCCGGGACTAACATATGTGCAAAATTTTAGATGTAAATCCGGTTTTTTTTACTATTATTTATTGTGCAAAATATTTTTTTTAAAGCAGCAAAAATTGTGAACGTTATTAGAAAGTAAAATATTTTATGCAAACAAAGAAAGTAATATACATATTGAAAATGGCACTTACAAATCACAAAAATAACCAATAACAGGTCAGATTTGTGATAATAGCCACGTGGTAGAAATGTAGTTATAAATGATGCAGTCTGTTATTAATTGCGTATAACATGTAAATTATTTCTTGAATGGTTATTTTTTTTTAATTTTCTTAAACCTTAGTGTATCTCTTACAAAATTGATTTTCTTGAAATATATTGGCTCATCTGGAGACATTCAGCTTTTCAACACTTTAAGCTAAACTTTTGGGCAATTGCAACAGTACACTATAAGCGCTCAATGGAAAAAAAAAATCTTTTTAATGTAAACAATTCTCATTTTGGATATGTAATAAATAGAATGTTATATTCTGTACCATATGAACATGGTGAATCAATAAATGCAGTGTTGAATCTACAGTCATTCAATAAAGTCTATATTTGAGCCGCGTTACGACAAAACCAACATAGTTCGAGTGCGACCAGCATGGATCCAGACCAGCCTGCGCATCCGCGCAGTCCGATCAGGATCCATGCTGTTCGCTATCAGTTTCTCTACTTGTAATAGAGTTGGTAAGCGAACAGCGTTGATCCTGATCAGACTGCGCGGATGCGCAGGCTGGTCTGGATCCATGCTGGTCGCAAACGCACTATGTTGGTTTTGTAGTGACGCGGCTCATTTTATTTACGATATTTACGATTTTTTTCAGGGCTTTCAAATGCAGTAACCGATTTACTCAGGAGTTTTTCCGTCGTAACGACGAAAATTCTACCTACTATTTTGCTGCAAATACTGGAGCAAGGTATGCATACTTTTTATATGTGGGGGTCATTGATTCCAGTACTTTATTGTGCTGATGCCTGAATATTAATAAATCAGCAGCTTGATGACATGGGACTTTGTTGAACTTTTAAATCTTTCATGAAGAGATTCAAACCGAGTTTATGATTTTTATTTGCTTGTTTGTGATTTATTTTTTTTCCTTGAACTACAATGATATCCCCTTTTAAAAAAGTAATGATTATCTCAAAACATAGTCATTAGGTAAGAATCCTTATTATTTTTGGTATATCTTTGGTCTGCCCTAAGCCAATCAAAATGGAGAATTTAATATCACATGATAACAAAATGGACGGCAAAAGACGTAAAATGTGGGTGCCTACGGGGCACGCCATCGATTATATTTTTCCCGGGTTACCGATATATAGAATTGAAATATTTTCTTCATGTTCGAAGTTAGAAACCCGTATGTAGGTTCCTATGGGATAAACAATATACGGACTATTTTCCTTAACAGTGTAAACATAACTGTATATCTTTTTTCATGAAGGAGTCTATTTAACGAATCAATATTTTTCGAATATCCAACTAAATAAGCTATTTCTAACATTTTTGGAAATGCTTATAGTTGTGTTTTACAAATACAGATGGATTGCTGTGCGTATCGAGTTCCTGGGCAACATCATCCTCCTGGCGGCCATTATGATCGCAATAACCTCAGATACCCTAACGGAGGCCAGCTCGGTCTGTCGGTTACTTACGCTGTCCAGGTAAAATACCTTTTCCTCTTTAACTCTAGCCTGCGGGCTATAACTGAAATATACCAGTCATGGACAGACGACACCTGTGCTTTCTGATCATGGTCTGCCTTGTTCGCTATTTACACTAAACATATGTGAAAATTGTTCATGTAATGATGAATTGTTTTGTCAAGATTCAAAGGTATTATGGGTCGTCTGGGGGCTGCGTTTTTTGAACGATGCCCTTCCTTTTTGATCTTGTTTTTTCATATTTCGTCTTGGTAAGGGTTAGTTAAAGGGTCTGCTAGTCATTTACGCTATCCATGTAAAAATAACAACACCCTTCAGTTAAGACTATAGTTTTTAAATAATGCATTCTAGATTGATGGAGTTAGAAGCTATAAGCGTATATATATAGACGCGCATTCAAATCCATTCCCAAAACCAACCACTACAAAGCAATGAGTGTAAAGTTTCTTACTCTTGCCTCTGCGGGGAACAGAAAGATTCACATTATACTATCGTCTATTCTTAAACTAAAATATGCATTGTAAGCATTGTCTTTTAAGTAATCATGGAAGAGGGTGGATAAGCGGACAGGGGGTGGGGTAGGATTGGGCGGACAGGGGAAGGTGCGAATAGTGGAAGAGGGTGTTTAGGGCGGGCAGGGGGTGGATAGGGCAAACAGGGACTGGATAGGGCGAACAGGGTGAGGGGTGGATGAGGGTGGAAATGGATAGTGCGAAAGGGGGTGGAATAAAATAAAAATTGATAATTATATACATGTATACAGATTTCTAAATGACAATTACTTCATCCTTTCTTCGCTACTTGTAAAACATAAGAAGACCTGAACTTTTGTTATATAGAATGTCATCATATCACATTGTCTTAGTAATGGCATTAATAGTTGATTTATAGGTACGGGATGACCCTCGTGTACTGTATCAGTATATAAAATGCATATGGTAATCACCCTGTAGATACATAACATATGTTGTGCTGACCGTACTTTTACCTGTATATATGTTAATAAAATGAAACTGTTCATGGTAAGGTGAATATAAGGATTAAATTAGGTCTTTAAGTCTATTTTTGTTATATGCAAGCCGGCCAAATGTACGCGGCTTTACAATAAAAGCGATACTAGATGCTTCTTGTTGAAGTCACTGAAAATGTGAAAAAGTAAAAATATGTTCTCAACAAGTCGGCACATAAAAGTGATACAAGATATAAGCGGCTGCTTTTTTGAAGTCATTTTTTCGAGATGTGAAAAATCAAGTCAATAAATACAAAGTCGGCATATAAATTGATATTCTTGAATTTTATCTTAAAGGACCATTATGATCCAGAAACGCTTGTATGTTCATTGCTAAAGGGCTGTTTATTTTTGGTGTCTTCTCAAAGCTTCCAAAGCTGAACTAATTTTAATTTGTGATGGTTGTGCAGGGGCAGTGAAAGAGTCCTCACGCACGCCTCACACTGTCCATATATTCTTACACAGCTCTTACACAGCCCATACACAGTCCTCGCGTAATATTCATGTGGCGTTGAAATCACCAAAAAACTATAACTTACTAAATATAATCAGATTTGAGCCGCGCCATGACAAAACCATCATAGCGCGTTTGCGTTCGCTATCAGTTTCTCTACTTGTAATAGTGTTTGTAAGGGGACATCATTGATCCTGATCAGACTGCGCGGATGCTGGTCTGGATCCATGCTGGTCGCGAACGCACTATGTTGACTTTGTCATGGCGCGGCTCATTTATCTATATTGATGCTAATTTCATCTCGCAATTAAGCAAAAGCAATCATTCTTTATACCGGATATTCATTTTTGTGGTAATCATGGCGTATATTATAAAAATTACAGATAACGTTTTCGTTAAACACCGTTGTATGGAGTGTTACAGAGATGGAAATGAACATAGTCTCGGCTGAGAGAGTGCACGAGTTCTCCGATCTTCCTTCAGAGGTAATTTGATTGATCCGCATACCTTTGCCATCTAGATACTCATGGCATGTTCTGAGAAAGAAAATAACCCTACAACTGAAATTGAAATACCGTATTGTATTCATTTTTTTGTAATTCTAAACTTTATCATCAATCACTCGGTAAATATTATTGCTTGACTTCAGGCCGAGTGGAAGGAAGACAAAGTTCCGCCGAGAAAAGACTGGCCGGCCACAGGAAGTATAAGTTACAAGAAGTACTGCACGCGGTATAGAGCGGGTCTGGAACTCGTGCTGCGAGGGATTACATTTAATATACGACACGGAGAAAAGGTTAGTTTTACATTGAAGAACGTAATAAAGTTATGGATGAAGGTATTAAGGGAAGGGGAAGTGGGTGCTTGTGTAATTATGTTTTTCAAATAATTAATTAACGTTTTGAATAACGACGGACGAATGAATGAATGAATGAATGAATGAATGAACGAACGAACGAATGAATGAATTATGGCTACTTTAAATTAGTATGTAGCTACTTTAAAGTTCAATTGAGGATAAAAAGACTATAAACATGAAATTTGAAATTTTTCATAGCTCAAGTGTAACACTTGGAAAAATATGTAAACGATAAAAAAGAAATAAATCAAAATTAAATTGAATATATATACTTATGCGAATTAGCCAATTTTTGTTTAAGCGTTGCAACGCTTTTCATTTTGGGTCATTTTACACAATAAAAATAAATATAGAATATACTGGAAAGAAAACAGGGTCAGGGAATGAGCTGAAAAATATTATTACGGAATCTTATTGCACCAGTTAGTAATTTAGGTATGTTTATGAACATTACAGTCCGAAAATATTTTTTAAAAACTACATATATCCATAAAGAAAAATAACCAAAAAAAAAGAAAAGTATTACGTAAAAACATTGTATGTCATTAAAGCAGCCATTAGTTTTCCTTAAGGTTTTATATGTTATTTTTAGATCAATCGTTTCATATAGTTGTCAAATCAAAAGAACCTTTTTTAGAAACGAACGTCACTGACACTTTACAAATAGCTCTCAAGACATTGTTTTAAAGAAGACTCAACAGTGATATGATGTACTTTTCCAAGATAAAATTCCTGAAATACTTAGTTTGAAACAACACAGAACTGTTTTCCGACAACAACAAAAAAAAACCTGAAGGCCGCTTTAAAATCTTTCTTTTTACAGTATTTAAAAAGCACGGTACAACTACTCCTAAACTTTAAACACGTTAATGAAATATCAAAACTATGTCGTCTGTATGGACTGTTGCGATACTATTAATATATAGATATGACACAGATGTTCAGTAGAAGTTTTAATGTCCATTATGTCGGCAAGATAAAAAGATCCGGAAAAAGTTGTTACGATTTTATCGGAGGGCTTACTATATATAACATTTTATATGAACTCTTTTTCGGGCTAGCCAGATTTTATTGGGTTACCATGTCACTGTAAACAATACGTCTTGACACAAACTTAATTAAAGGGGACATTTTTAGCTCGCCTGTTCCGACGAAAAAATTGAGCTGTTGTGATCGCTGTATCGTCGTCGTCGTCGTTGTAGTGCATATACTTTAGTGCAGACCATTTTTCAAATATTTTAAATGGTATTACATGTAACAAAAAACTTGGAATACTTGCTTATCATGACAAGTGATTTTTCCCTATAGTTTGCAGATGAATAAAGGCTCTTTCCATTAGCACAAAATAGTATATTTTTCCTTGAAAATGTTACATCTTCCCCTAAAATACCCCATACAAACTCTTCACAAGAATCATGATTCAACAGCAGCTGACTTATATCAGCTAGTTGATAAATTTAATTGACTGAAAAACAGAAGGATGTCCCTACGGATAGCGTCTGCTGTGTATACCGTGCATATTAAATTGAATATTTTTTTTATGAAATGTGTGAGTATATTCTATTCTCAGTTTTTGAAAATTGATTTCCTCTTTTCTTATTTATCATGTTATATTGTCCCCTCCAAGTCACAGATTGTTTTGAAAATTGCAAAAATATCACTGATGGAAAGGTCCAGTTGTTAGACAAGGGAAAACTTCTGAAAGCAATATTTTGGAGTAATGACCCCTTTTACTTAACTTAAGAGAAGCGATGGTCTAATGGTTAATGTGTCTGCCTCTCAACCCATGGATAATGGGTTCGAGCCCTAAGTAGCAAGAAGTTGTTAAGATTTACCTATGTTCCTTCCGGTCTTTCCTGTACAACTCGTTTGTACGTGTTAATAACTTGATAAGTCTGAGTTTTTTTTATTATTCAGATTGGTGTTGTTGGTAGAACAGGCGCTGGTAAATCTTCCCTAGCACTGAGTTTATTTCGTATTATCGAGGCAAGCTCTGGCTCAATCCTGATCGATGGCACGGAGATTGCGGACCTTGGGCTTCACACCCTTCGCAGGAACATCACAATTCTTCCTCAAGTAATTATATGACCTCTCTTATTTTACCATAATTTCAGATAAACACGGAATCGTTGAAAGAACTGAATAACAATAATATTTTAAAGATTTATTAACAATTGGTATACAAATCTATGATGCTTACGTTGATGATGATGATTTTAAGATTAATTATGGTGATGATTTTGAGATGATGATGATGATGAAAATGCTAATGATGATGATGATAAGATATGCATACCTTATTCAATGGATTATTCCATTTCAGGATCCCGTTTTGTTTTCTGGAACGCTGAAATTTAACGTTGACCCCCTGAACGCGTTCTCTGATGACGAGATTTGGCGGGCCCTGGAATGTGCACATCTAAAATCATTTGCAATGAAACAGCCAGAGGGTTTGTTGTATGACTGTGGGGAAGCCGGTCAGAATTTTAGGTACGAGTCTTCTAATTGCTTTTTTGTTGTTGTTTTTTTGGTATTTTTTTTCTTTCGGTTAACATAACATTATTGGACTGTCAAACATGTGTAACTTGCAACTCTTTTTAGTGTAAATATTATTTATTTAGTAATCTAGAATGTGAAGCAATCGAGTTGTTTTGGTTTTTTTTTAATCACTCAAATAAGTTCGCGTTCTCGAACTAACCGGTACTGGTTAGTAACCTCTCTTAAGAAGCAATCTCTCGGTAACAATATCTTTGATATTCTCAAAGAGGCTGTTTTATAGCGGTTGGTCTGTACTACCTGCGTCAGAGAACTTTATTACAGAAGAAAGCTCCATGCCTACGTCAATTAAATTATAAGTTTCTAGAAGTATTTAATTGTATTGTTTTTGTCCTTGCTTTGCTTTTCTTGTTGTTCTTGCTTTGTTGTTGTTGTTGTTGTAGTTGTTAATGGTGGTTGTGGTGTTTTTCACAAGAATAATCCTTATATTACAGTGTGGGTCAGAGACAGTTGGTGTGTCTAGCCCGGACGTTACTTAACAAGACTAACATACTAGTACTGGACGAGGCGACAGCTGCCGTGGATTTTGAGACCGACAATTTGATCCAGCAGACGATAAAGTCACAGTTCACTGATTGCACGATTTTCACGATCGCTCATAGACTTAACACGATCATGGATTACGACAGGTAAGCACTTTTTTAGACTTTTAGGATGTTTTACCTTAACACCGCTAGAACTTTTACAAATTGATGTTTTTACTATAACACCGCTTAAGATTTTATTTCCCTAAAACTTACGTCTTTGTACATTAGCAATGGTCATGACCTACCGAAATTTTATTGCCTGCGTTGACTTTATACATGAATTAAGTTAACATTGTTGATTTTGTGTTTCAATAATTGAGCAAGTTTTCAACATAAGGTTATTGACCTTTTTGTGGTATTAAACGTCACAAGAACTTGCTCGTGAATTGTTTGTCTGAATCATCGGCATTTTTTCTTGTTTTGAAAGTCGCATGCATTTAAATTCAACAATTTATCAAAATTTTATTATCGCCGCCGAAAAGGCGGCGGGGGATATAGAAATAGTCTCCGTCCGTCCGTCCTTCCGTCCGACATTTTTGTCCGGAGCATGTCTCAAAAAGTATTTGAGGTATCAACTTGAAACTTTATAGGTGGATAGACCTCATTGAAAAAGGGTGCAGTGCACAAGAATGATAACTCTACCCTGCATAATTTTTGAGCTATTGCCCTTTGTTATTTTTCAAAATTAATTTTTGTCCAGAGCATAACCCAAAAAGCCTTTGAGATATCAACATGAAACTTCAGGTGCATAGATCTCACTCAGGAGGTGTGCAGTGCACAAGAATGATAACTCTACCTTTCATAATTTTTAGTTATTGCCCTTTGTTATTTTTCATACTTAATTTTTCACCTGAGTGGAGCATAACTCAAAAGAGTTTGAGATGTCAACATGAAATGTCATAGGTGGATAGATCTTATTGAGGAGGAATGCTGTGCACAAGAATGATAACTATTCCCTATACAATTTTGGAGTTATTGCCCTTACTTATTTTTCATACTATTTTGTCCTGAGCTTATCTCAAAAAGTATTTGAGGTATCAACTTAAAACTTCATAGGTGGATGGATCTCATTGAAAAGGAGTGCAGTGCATAAAAATGATAACTCTACCTTTCTTAATTTTTTTTGGTTCTTGCCCTTCGTTATTTTTCATACTTTATTTTTCACCTGAGTGGAGCATAACTCAAAAGTGTTTGAGATGTCAACATGAAATGTCATAGGTGGTTAGATCTTATTGAGGAGGAATGCTGTGCACAAAAATGATAACTATTCCCTATACAATTTTTGAGTTATTGCCCTTTGTTATTTTTCATACTATTTTGTCCTGAGCTTATCTCAAAAAGTATTTGAGGTATCAACTTGAAACTTCATAGGTGGATAGATTTTATTGAGGAGGAATGCATACCCTGCATTATTTTTCAGTTATTGTCCTTTGTTATTTTCAGCCATCAGTATTCACATAGGTTTCAAATCTGTAATCACTTCAGCCATCAGTTTTCATTACCAAAAGACCTCTTAAAATTGAATTTTTCTGCTCTACTACATATACATTCTTCAAGTGAGCAAACACTTTCGGCGGGGGATGGCCATGTTGACATAGCTCTTGTTTATACAAAGAAATTAAAACAATAATGATACATGTATGTTGTCAGGTAGTTCTTATCCCAAAGTCAAAACGCGCACCCATAGAAATCATGAAATGAAATGAAAGACAATATGATTGTGCTTTTTGTTTGTATGTTTAAACCCTAAAATACATAATTTACTTACCAAAAATATTATTTTCTCAACAGAGTTATGGTCCTTGACAAAGGACTGATTAAAGAATTCGCATCACCTAGAGAACTCCTAAACGACAAAGAAGGTATATTTCACTCGATGGCAAAAGACGCACAGCTCGTGAAAACATGATAGAATACGAGTGGATAAAAAATCAGTTGCTCTACAGTGATTTGGAAGAGTTACAAATCAAAATATTAATAATTTGAACATACAGTCAACCTGTGTAAAGACCACTACGGAAAAACAGATCTCAATGTAAATTAAGACCGAACTTCGACAAACCTTCTTTGATTAAATAGAACACGATAACTTCCAAATAAAGACCACTTGTCAATAAAGGCCGTGTTTGGTCTCTCATTTGGATAGCCTTTGTTCTCAGGTTTGACTTACCTAGACAGTTAGTTCGCGTTTAATGTTTCAACAGCACATTGACGCTAATCCTCAAAGCTTAAAGTACACTTGCACTTGAAAATATGACCATGTTAGTTAAAGATGGTATATATTTCCCGGATTTTTCAAGTCTCACACTATTTTGAACTGGTGTGGTTGCGTCATGAATATATGTATGTTGACATATTCATAGCATAATATTTGTGTTAGATGGCTTAAATGTCAGATTTGATTACTTTGTTTTATTTATTTTTTTTACAAAAGTTTGTTTTTTATTTTCAAAAAGTTTTAACTATCTTAAGGACCTACGCAGCTTTGGTAAAAAAACAACTTATAGTGTGATCTTAATGTGTGCCTATATGTTTCTTAATATATATCATGGACTTTGTGTAATATAAACATCACTGTTATCATTCCTGTACATAGTTAAATGACTTGGTTAACCAGAAAAAAGCACCAACTGACTGAAAACAAGCCTCATTCATTAAAACAGCCGAGGTACAAAACTAATATGTTCATTGTATCGGGGTTTATCTGTACTAGCATTGTTAAAGAGTTACATTTTTAACCATACATTTCGAACCATTCATGAAACTCTCATAGACCATCAAAAATCAAAATATACTTGTATTAAATATATAATTACAAAAATTTAAAAAGAAATACTGCTTATAAATACCTGATCGGGGAATATACGAGCGTATTATATAGGAAGAGATTTGTGTCAAATACAGTACAACCTGTGTATAACGACCCAGTTTGTGACGATATGCTTTACATTGCTAGGAGTAGGAGATTTTGCTTTATATAGGGGTTCAATATCTCGTGGTGTATTTCTTTGAAGATTTGATACCATCATTTTAAAAGTCATTGCTTTGTAGATGGTTATTGTGCGGATATTGCACTGTATTCATATGTAGTTATTTAAAACTTGTACATGTATTTGAGATTGTTGAAAATGTATTTGAGATTGCTAAAAATGTATTTGAGATTGTAAAACATGTATATGAGATCGTTAAAGTGTATTTGAGATCATTAAAATGTATTTGAGATTGTTAAACTTGTGCATTTGAGATTGATTAACATGTATTTGAGATTGTTTAAAGGGGTTCCACTGAGGTTTTTTGTCATGATAGGACTAGAAATATTTTTTCCAGATAAATGTACCATTTGATGTAGGTTTAGACCTCTAATCTTTGTGCAAAATTTCAGATCATTCGCGCACTTCGTTTTTCCAGAATAAATATTCAAATTGTAGAAAAATGACCCAAAATGAAAAGCGTTTAAACGCTTTTCACTCAAATCGGGCTGAGAAAAGCATAAACATACGATTTTCAACTTATTTCAAAGTATATTTCTTATCTATCTTTGCATATATTTCTGGTAAAAGTGCCCCTGCTCATTTATGTAAGAAATTCAAATGTTTTTAGGTTTTTAAATCTCAGTTGAGTCCCTTTAATATGTATTCGAGATTGTTAAAAATGTATTTGAGATTAGTAAACGTATTTGAGATTGTTAAACGTATTTGATATTGTTAAACGTATTTGAGATTGTTGAATATGTATAATTATGAGATTTTTAAATATGTATTTGAGATTGTTAAGCGTATTTGAGATTGTGCATGTAATTTACCGGTGCCCATCTGGGTTCCGTTCTGTGTATCCTGGCTGTCTATATGTCAACTTGTGGCACACTTGTTTGTGCCTGCGTTTCTTACATAGTTTTTTTTTCGCTTTTTTATCTACATTTTCATATTTTACTGCATATTTGAATGTTTTTTTTAATGTTTCTTTTTACATCATGTATCAATAAAATATGTTTAAAATAATGTTTGAATTGTTTTTGTTTTTTATTTTTTTCTCAGCTGTTTTATGTTAAAATATATAATATACAGTCATCAATATAGACCCATATTCGAATCACTTAAAGGCCAATCAAGCCTTAAAAAATGCCAGTATTTTTATTTCCCCAAAAGCCTTTCATTCTTTTATTTTGTTTGTTACAGATTCGAGAACGTTTGGCAGAAGCCAACCATCTTTTAAATTTTAGACATAAGTAAACCCAAAGTGAACAAATTGTCCTTGAGCCATCTCCCCTGTTTTTTGCACCGTGTCCTGCTGGGCTCTTTGCCGGTGACCCTGTGTTGCTGGGTTGTGTTGATGATGCGTGCATTGAATACCGACCTTCCATTTTTTTTATCTTTGATTTCGTATTTCATTTGTATGGAAGAAAAATACAGCTTTGCTTACGTTTTGATTCGTTAATTACAAATTATTTTTCATAAAAGGCTTCTTAGATGAATATTATCTGGCATGCATCTAACCGGCTCCAAAACCATCAGTAAAACAGTATGAAAACACAGATTTGCGTTTTGTTTTTAAAAGAAGAAAAAGCATATCAAAGCAGCATGCCCCCAGATTCATGCTAATTTTCATGAAAATTTTGAACATGTATTTAAAAGTAAAATATTGTGAGGTGAACAAAGAAAGTAGTTAACACATTACAAACGGCACTTACAATCCACGTTAATAACCAAAAAGAGGTCAAAATATACATAAATACCTCTTACTGCGTTAGTCACGCAGTATAATTATAGTGACTAATTCCTGCAAAAACAGTCATTAATCACATATAACATGTAAATAATTAATTAAATATTGAATATTTTAACTTTTGTAAAGATCTTAATACATTTTTTTAAAGATTGAATTTCTTGAAATAGTTTGGCTTATCTGGAGGCGTGCAGCTTTAAATTCCTTAAAAGTTTTTAAATTGGTGAACGTACATTTAAGACAGTGACTGTATTGAACCTTCATGAAACATAACTGTTGCTTTGAAATTAGTCAAAGTTACTGTCCACTAAATGATAAATCCCTTGTGTCAAGCAGTCAATAAACTTTTAATTTTGTTTTGCTGTCAACATTTTTATGGTGACGGATAGAGCGATACAATTGACGATAGATCTTTTGAACAAAATTATGTCAATGCTTCTTTGTTATTGCAATGTACTCGCTCAAAAGTTAAAGACATTTTCAGGTCATATGTCTAATTTATAACACTTGGAAGCATTGTGTACGAAAGACCGGTGGGGACATTTCAACTTCATGAATTCCCGATTTCATCTTCGTGAAATCCACAATTGTGATTTAGTAAATTTGCGTTTCCTACATACGGAATTTGCCATTTCAGCTTCACGAATTTACGATTTCATCTTCACGAATTCACAATTTCGACTTCACGAATTCAGACTTTAACTACACGAATTCAGGAAAACTTCATGAATTCAACTTCATCAATTCATGTTCTGAACTTCAGGGTTTCAACTTCACGAATTAAAAATTTCCTCTTCAAGAATTTGAAAGCTTGAATTCATGAAGCTGAACTCGTGAATATATGAATTCTGTATGTTAAAGTTGTGAATTCAAGTAGTTCAAATTTTTGAATTCATGAATATGAACACGGCGATTCAAGAAGTTGAAATGTAACCACCGGTCTTTCGTAATTGTGCAAGTCAATACTTCATCTTGTCAGTTTTAATTTATTGACAGAAATAAGGTTAAACGCATCATTCAAGTTCTCATTTGTTAAATAAAACATTTCTAGGACAAATTATCATTTTTGTGCACCACTTTAGTACAACTTCTCCAGAACAATAACTTTTTGGGAGACAAAATATTTCAGTTGTTGTTGTTGCTGTTTAGAGGCGACGGTAATACGCTCCTGTGATGACTGATCGCCCCGAGACCCCGCCAAGCAAAAAGTCGAGAATGAACAAATCAAAATGTTGGGGGCGCGGAGCGAAAACATGTTAATTAGCGAGGGCGCGGGGCGAAATTTAATAAATAAAACCCCTGCCCAGGGGTGTGAAGCGAGATTTTAGAAAGAAAACGGGGCGGGCGCTAATTAGCGTATTTTCGCTTCGCGACCCATATCCATTCTCGAATTTTCGCTTGACGGGGTCGCGGGACGAAAACACGAATTGTACAAATCAGCCACCATAATATTTAGCAAAGAAGGTCAATTCCATTGCTGTTGACTTCACGACATTAACTGGAGATACTATTAGGTAATTTTGGGCTCGTTTTCCCGTTTCGTTTCAAATAATATTTCGAGTGGGTTTAAAATGACAGCGTAGGAAAAATCAGTAAAAATCAGATGATTTTGGCAAAAATGCCCTTAGGTTGATATTTGTAAACAAATTGTGAAATATTTCTTCCACACTTAATGGAAAAAGTGTCTTTGAAACATTCATGTTTACGAAAGTAAAATAATTCTAATTTATACATAAAATCAGTATTGTCCCTTTTTTGTATGAGAAGAATTCTGTGATGCGTGTATGTGGTCGCACGGTCACTCCTTCCAACGCGTCCTCGATGCGTGTATGTGGTCGCACGGTCAATTGTCTCTAAAATAATGATAACGTTTTTATAAGTATCCTGGTGTCTAATCGTAATGTTCTATATATAAAAAATCTAACTCGTAATCAAGAGTTTCCTAATCCAAATCCTGACATTATCATTTTAGTTCTGATTAATAAAAGCGTAATTAGAACTTTTTTACTCCTATATGGGAGAAATACAAAACAAAACAATAAGAACTTTATTTCTCCCAGTTACAACTTATTAGGTTAATTAGGGTTCTTTACTCCTAATAAAGAGAAATAAGCCAAATTACGACCTTGTAACTTTTAGTTAGGAGTTTTAAAAGCATAATTGGGGGAAAATTAAATCATTAGTAGAACTTTTCGTGTCCTTATTAAGAGCTTAGAAATGAACTCTCCCTTAGGACTTTGTAAGTTCTTATATTAAC